AACAGTCAAAGATAGCAAACCTGGAAGTTACGGAAAATGGAGCGACAGAACGAGAAAAAGTGTAATTAGCAAATGCCATTTTAAAATGCGGTATAATAATGTCTGGAATCGTGGGAGAAAGATACTGATGTACTGTACGCGCGGGACCTCCTGTAAGAGTTAGATACGGAAGGTGAACAAATTTCAGTAATATGTGATTCCTATACTAACAAAAGAACATAAACTAACATAAACGTAACTAAATAAAACACCTAGCATTATAAAGTACTCTATAAATAAGCAAGTACCTAGTCATTCGAAGGTTTTCCAACGGCTGACACTGGCTTATTTCGTAAGGTTCTTCGGGGTGAACTTCATCGTCTGTAAGTGCCGTGGAGTATTGGAGGAAGGCGTCAACTTTATCAATGAGCACTAGAAAGATAAATAAAGACAAATAGAATGGATGTTACCTCGCCTTAAATCCTCTATTGAACAGTTAGCATTGTTAGTGTTGTATAGTATTGTATCAAAATACGGTAGTACATCCTGTCTATCAATGTACTTAAGCATTTTTTGCATTGTTCGGTGATTGCTCTCGTCGATTTGGCCACACCGATAGAGGTAACGGAATCCAAGCTCCGGCATGTTTGTGGCTTGTGTTAATTTGCGGTTCCAGTCAGACTGGCGCGGCATCAAGTCTCTGTACTTATGCAGAGCCCTCTTAATATCTTTATCAGACAACTTAGCCAGAATCCAGCGGTAAAGCTCGCCCACGGACACTTGACACTTCCATGACCTCGTATAACGCCTTGAGAGCTGTCCATCTTTCATTATCTACCTCCCTTTTAAATTTGTGGCAGATAAAAAGCGCATATAAACCATCGGATACCGCTCGCATTCCTGAAACTATTGACATTCTGCCCAACGAAGTATCCTCTTTCCGATACCTTGATGTTACTCTGGCATCCAATCCTAAATTTTCTTTTCATATAGAAGGCCTTTTTTATTAAAATCCTTAAATTTTTATGTTGTTTCCGCCGCTTGCGTTCAAATCGCTCACCGCAAGCCCTAATCTGGCGATTTATAGATGCCTGAATTCTCCCCCTCACTCTTTAGTGCTCTGCAGTTATTTTTCCAGCTTTCCTTAAAACGAACTTGTCACTCCTAAACGTATCCTCTGAATGCTCTCTTTAGCTGCCGGTGTTTCCTATGTTTTTTTAGTTGACATTATAGTACAGCGCCAGTTTAAAACGGTCAAACAATTTGCTGACCGGGTCCTTACTGAGGTTGCTCAACCTCTCCATTTTGAACTAATGGCTGTGAAGTCTTACCGTACGATGCGCCGAGGCTTCCGTTATATATCTTGCCGTACATCGGCATATCAACATTCTGTACACCCATTGCTAGCACACTACCGCAAGTGTGAAGAAGCGGAAAGTGAGAAGTTGAAAACTGACCTGTCTCAATAGTAGATGTGAATATCGTGCAAAACTTTAATTTTGAATATTCGATGACCTTTTACCTTAGACCTTTTACCCCGTCCCCTTATTTACCTTAACTTTTGCTCCTCGTAAATGGAGCCATTTTTGCTGAAAATTTAGGATATTCCATTCTAAATATAGTATTCCTCTCTCTTTCTCTCTCTCAAACTCAGCCAAATGGGCGTTAGGGAAAATCTCCTGAAGTTGATTGGAAGCCTCCTGCTTAGCCCCCCTCAAATGGTTCATGTCGGTGACCAGCTCTCGGCAGACGTTGCGGTCCAGAGTGGTGTTCCCCAAGGCTCTGTGTTTGGCCCTATCCTGTTTATTATGTGCGTAAGCGACTGCGTGACGTGACTGGATTGTGATATTGCTATGTTTGCCGATATTATTAAGATTTGGAACGTCATCAGGAATGCGGCTGACTAACAGCATTTGCAGGCAAGCCTAAGCCGACCTCAATAACGAGGCTCTCCGGGCCTAAAATATAAAGCTTATTTTACAAGTAGGTATCTGTACACCGATCTGTTTCAGGATGCACCCATCCTGGTTGATGCCTTTTTGCGAGGTCTTGGAACCCCAGGCAGATGTGTTGCAAGGCGAAATACTAATAATACTCGCTACGTTCAAGAAACAATGTATTTTACCGACAAAGACAAGGGGACATCGCGGACGCGTTTTCTGGCTTGTTTGCCGTCATCAGGCGGTGATACCCCAACTCCAATGTAGCAGCGGAAATTGCCGGAGAGATGCGAGTTCGATTCTCGAGTGTGACGGCAATTTCCGCTGCTACACTGGATTTGGGGTGTCACCGCCTGATGACGGCAAACAAGCCAGTAAATGCGTTCGCGACGTCCCCTTGTCTTTGTCGGTAAAATAAATTGTTACATAAAGCTTATTTATTCATTTATTCAAACGTAGTCTAAGGACTGGCCTTTACCGTTTAATGATCACAAGTGCAGTGTCCTAAGAGGCCGATCCGGGTCGTAAAATGCCATGGTTTACTGCCTGAATGGCATCCAACAACAAGTAGTGGACACGCAGAAAGATTTGGGATTGTGGATCACGACATCGATTAAGTCCTCGCCACACTATGCAAAAATAGCAAAGTTTGCAACGTCCGTCCTGTACCTTGTCAAACGGGTCTTCTGTGCCTTTGATAAGGACTGTTTTGCTAAGGTCTTTGGAACATTTGTGCGGCTGAAAGTGGAGTTCGCTATACAAGCATGGAGACCCTGGACTGCGAAAGACCACAATTCCCTTAAAAAAGGGTTCAAAGGTGTGCAACAAAACTTGTGACCGGATAGGGCTCATTACCCTAAGCTAATCTCGACCTATTTCCTTCAAGTTACAGGCAGCTACTTGGTGAGATGATACAAAAATTTCTTATAATGCGCAGTCAGGACTACTGTATTCTACCTGAGGATTTCTTCGAGTTAGCAACAACTGCGAACTCAAGAGTTCATCCATTCAAACATCGTGTAACATGGGCCAAGCTAGACACAAAAATGTTCGCCTTTTGTGATAGAGTGGTCGAAGCTTGCAATGTTCTGCCACTGGACGTTGTAATGTCCGGTTCCGCTGAAGTCTGTGGGAGAAGGCCCGACTGCTATAGCAACGCCCACTCTAACACCAGCTGACCCTTGTAATCTCACTTTGGGCGAGCATATATTGTATTCTTATACCGTTATTTATCACATTTGAGTAAAATTTATTCATGAAGTTATTCTATGCACCAACTTTTCTAAATGCACGGAGCCCACTTACGTCTACCACTTACGGACAGTTGCGATCGTGTCGGATTCCCTGTCTTCGACAGGTTGATGGCAGACTCGGAAATTTGGCAAAGGCTTATCGTAGTCGCAGCTGCGGCATCCCGAAGATCTCGAGACGTCCAGAATAACTTCCTTGGTGTTACCATAACCATACTGTTGATATCCATGATAGAATCCCCTGTTCCGTCTTAACCTCCTCAGCAGCATGACGCTCCTATATCATGTACATTTATCTGCTATGAATGATAGTTTTTTCTCCTTAAAATCCCTCAGATCGCATTCAAAACCTCTATAGTTTCCGAGAACGGTGAAAGGAGCTTTTTCACTGTCTGCCCTTTTTCGATCTTGTCACACCTACAGCTCCTGTCATTCGTATCGCCTATGAGCTTAGATACTATAAGTATGTAATCATACAACTTGTGATGAGTGAGTAGTCGTGTTCATTCACTAATTCCCACTAACTGGCGGCTGCTAACGTTTTCGTCTGCAACAACGGGAACGACCACTGTTTGAATTTTTCTGCTATCCATGTATTTTTCGGTCGCTATGTCATTATGTCCCTCAATACAACTGAACCGAACGGAGCAAAGCAAGTCTATAGACCAATAACAGTATAAGAGCAAATCCTATCACAATTAGACAACCTCACTATGTATT